CAGATTTGATGGCAGCGAAAGAAACAAGAAGAACGGGAAATAAACAAGAAAAGAAACAAGAAGAGAGACAACAGCATTTGCAAGAAAACCTGCAACAGTGGCAGCTCGAACAGCAAAATAAACAAGAAGAGAGATTACAGCAGTTGTTGGGAGGAAAAGAAAAGAAACAAGAACGAGAGATAACAGCAGTGGCAAGAAAACCTGCAACAGTGGCAGCTCGAACAACAAAATAAACAAGAGAGATTACAGCAGTGGTTGGAGGAGAAAGAAAATAAACAAGAAGAGAAATTACAGCAATTGTTGGAGGAAAAGAGGGGAAACAAGAGGAACGAGAAAAGAGACAAGAAGAGAAATTACAGCAGTGGCAACTGGAACAAGAAAGGAAACAAGAAGTACACACGGAAAACATTAGTAAATTTAAAAGCAAATTAGATACATTAAAGGACGATTTATTGTCTTTTACACAAGGAGAATACATTAACAATCGACTTAATCAGCCCCAGACAATGACAAGCCCCTTCCAGACTATGCAGCTAAACCCTAATGCAGACATATTCAGTCCCGTTAGAAATCACATCCCAGATATGAATGTCAGTAATAGGAGTGATCCAGTACGAAGAAAGCCACAGGAATACGATGGGAAGGCACCGTAGGAAGCATATAGAGCACAATTTGGGCTACTGGCAGAGATGAATGGATGGACAAAGAAGCAGAAAGCAGTATATCTGGCAACGAGCTTGAAAGGACAACCACTGGAAATACTTGGACAGTTATCAGCAGACGACAGACACAACTATAGAGCACTGGTAGCGGCTCTAGAACTCAGGTACAGAACATAAAATCAGTCGGAAGTCTACAAGGCTAGGTTCAGGACGAGAATCCGAGCTTAAGGGGAGAGCCTGCAAGAGCTGGCACAGGACTTGGAAAGCATGGCACACAAGGCCTACCCAGCTGCACCACCCAATCTCCTCAAGTTGTTGCTGAGGGATCAGTTCGTAGATGCCTTGGACAGTTCACAACTTAAGATACAAGTGAAGCAAGCACACCCCTCTACCATGCAGGATGCAATGGCCAGAGCTCTCGAATTTGAATCCTACGTTAAGTCCAGCACAGAGGTACCGAGGTTGGTACAGTCATCTGAATTGAAGGCCAGAAAAGGAAAGCTTTCAGAGAAGTTTAAGGGACTTTGCTGGCACTGTAACAGACCGGGGCACAAGAGAGCTCAATGCTGGCAATTTCAACACAGGGAAT